TTTACCCATCCGTTATTATTTAGACTCTTTTTTTTTTTTTTTTTTTTTGTAATTTCACCACCAAGGCTCTTCTAATAGGAAGTAAAGTAAACATTCTGGAATGGTCCACATTTATTACCTGAATCAAAAGGACTTTCAGCTCATCGTGACGAATAAATTGTCAACAGTTGGGTAGAAATATGTTGCCTGGGTGCCATTCCGAACTTAGTCCCGCCCACAACGTTTGAGGTCGGGAAGTTCGGTCTGGCATTGCTCAATAAAAGCGCGAGTATGCTCGCACAATATCTGGCGGGCCAATCAAATTGTCAGGGCGGGCTTTATACGATGATGGACAGATGATCAACAGTAACGTAATCAACCACGTCACCAAAGCGCGCTTGGGTGACAACAACAATGGCTGCCGCTGGAGAGTTGAAGTGTGTAGATTCTGCTATTAGGTCTGTTCTAGAAGATATCGACAGCAAATTAATTTTAAAAGAGGAACAGAGAAACGCGATCAAGGCTCTTCTTATTCTAGGGGTGCAACTACACGCTTTGATTTTTGTTGACAACAACTATGCGTCGCTTAACATACGTCACGCACTCCGTTGCTCTTATTGGTTGTAGGTCTATCCAATTGAGTGCAGAGGCATTTTTTTTCCTGGTTCGTTCGAAACACGCCCCATAATCACAGCTCTATGGAGCAGTATCAGACTCATATTCTGACTAGAATTGAGTAGGACTACATCATGCTAAGAAATATGTAGAAAACTTTTTTACTTTAAGCTAAAAGTTATTAAACTTTTTAACTTAAACCTAGTTGTATTAACTTTTGGGTTATGCCTGTCCTATTTCCTGCCAGAATCAAACTTGGTTCAAAGACAATGTTTTTTTTGGCTTAACTGTTAAAAGTTTGTTTTCTAACTGTGGGCTTTATGTGTTTTCTAAGGGTTGTGCTTAAATGTTTTAGTTTCTCTTAATTTTATAAATTGTGTTTTTAAGAAACATAAAAATCTGTTACTGAATATTAAACTCATATCTTCACATTGTAGTAGTAATCTAAGCAGCAGTAACCTGGTTATTAATCCATTTTATTTGCTGATTTAAAGTCTTAAGGAGAAGCAAAAACCCTTTTCCATGTCAGCCTGATTTCAGGAGGATTGACTCTGCCAGTGAGTGGGTTTTCTCCCTGAAGGAGTTCAGCTCAGATCAAGACTGGGCTGTATCATGTAGCGGGATATTTTCCTCTTATTGGGTTTACCCTCATTTAATAGGTCACTGCTATAACAAACCAATTATTTACGGTAAAAGCCTAATTCATCCAGCAGATATTAATCTCCAACCATTGTCTGGTAATTTAGCCCAACCACAGGCAGAACTTTTAAATAAACACTGATGGTGACCAGAGAGAGAGAGAGGGTAATCGCTCATGACGAGTGATGATCCGCTGTACTATCTCTATTCGCTCAGGGGCCTAAACAGTTTATTTCGTGTTTGCAGTCACTTCCTAGAGGCTGTTAAGCTGATGTACAGTTTGACAGAAACGGAGGCAAACCAGATCACTTGAGTAAGATTGTTTTGACCTGATAAGTAGAAAGAGGTACATTAGGGAGAAAAATGGAGCAAAACACTAAAACTCTAGGATTAGCCTTGTATTAGTTTACACAGACCACAGGCTAAAATATTTAAGGTAAGAAAATAGATATTATTCTGTAACCAATTGGGGCTACATATGTGCTTTTTGGCAGTGATCCTTACTGATCATAGAACTAAGGATAATCTTAATTTGGTCAGCAGGATAAACACAATTTAACCGCATTCTCACCATATGCAAGATGTCAAATTAGGCTTTTTTTCACAAATCTTGGTGAAACATGAAGTTCTGTAATGATGTGCTACTAAACAGCAATGGAAACTGCTCATTACACACCCAATCAAGAACTGATTCATTTAATTTGTAAGGTGGTGTGCGGCTTTAAAATGGAAAAGGCTCAATCATCACACTTGATCAAACAACTACCTTTAAAGCTCCACATTTTAAAGTGCCTGGACTTTAATGTTAACTTTCTTTAGGACTTGATCCTTTCTGTGCTTATTACTCAATATTTACACGGTGAGTGAAATAAAAACGTTTATGAAGTATTTTTGGTGTAGAGCAGTAGATTGATTTATATATTTCTGTAGAAAATATGCTTTCTTCTTCTTTACTATATTTTAAAGACACAGTTTTCTATTTTTTTTTAACCTCTTTTATGTGATCTATTTAGCTCTTTCTTCTTGGGATGTGAATTTAAAGAAAATCTAACAATAATATAGATTTACCCAGGATACAGCTATTTTTTTTTAACATGATTGGCTATATATTTCATATACTGCATATGCTAGAGCTTATTTCGAGGTATAATGTAAACAAAGGTTTGCACATTACATAAATGCATAAAGTCCTATCACCAACATTATGAGAATCAATAACATGAAGCCCTTTCTATTTATGCATTTATAAATAAAAGTTTGATGATTCAATGTTTGAATAATTTGAGGAGTTTAGTTGATAGTAGGACAAACTCAAAAAATTATTCACTTTATTTCAAATTTAATGCAGTCAGATGTCATGCTAAATAGCATGATAGCCAAATGGCATTATTGTGTCCCATACCAATAATGATGATGCTGAAGAGCTAGAGAGCTCCCCAAGTGACAGACTACTGCATCCTAAATGCAGATTCTTCCTGAATGTAGACTTTCAACCATCACTGTTCCAACTAACTTTTCATATTCCAGCTCTTTTTGTATATATTGTTTTATTTTTGGAAATAGTTGATGTGATGTTTTTCTGCACCAATATGCATGAATAATAATAAAGATAATTTTCTGTTCTACACAAATTAAAGTGATTTAAATCCTACATTTGGTTGGCAGCATAATGTTTGCACACACTGGCACAAGATCAATCAAATAGAAAAACTTCTGTTGGAGCTGATTAAAGGACCAAGTAGGAGATGGAAAACAAGTCTTACTCACTGAGTCCATTCTAAAGATTTAAAAAAGACATGCAGTGGTATAGTGTTTTCTGATGACTGCTTCGTCTCTTTAGATGTGAGCTACTCCTTGCTTAAAAATGTGTTGACATTTTAAAAGTTTATAAAAGATTTCAATCCTGTTCAGCAGACAAAGAATTATACTTTTTTCATCTTTCTGTTTTAAAGGACCTTGAAATCTTCAGTTTGTCACACTAGGGAGTCAACCTTTTTACAAAAGTATTGGTAAATTGGTCTGGATGCACTTCTCTTTAGACAAACTTAGTGGATTGTATGTTTTTCTGTTAGTATTGTTAGTGTCATCATTTTAGTGTTAACAGTGTTTTTATGTTATTGCTGTTAATCTATGTAACAGCTCTCTTTAAATGAGACAGGGACTCTTAAGAGATTTTCCTGTGTAGGTAAAGGATTAAACAAAAGAGATTGAATGAACAAAGAGAAAGCAGCCAGGGGATTTTCTCACACTCACTGATGCAAAGAAAAATGTTACCAACTTTAGTTATAGTTTCAGAGAGAAAAATAATGTAATGACAATAAAATAATTGCTGACAGTGTCATCAATTGGCCAGGTCAGCTAATCTGTTAATACTATATAAAAGCAGATTATGTAACAATTTTATGATTTTTATCACCTTAGAGATAGCCATTGATGCACACATCCATGGGTGGAACTCTGCTGCATTAACCTAACGTGTGTCTCCCTTGACTCACTGTCTATAGTGTTAATATGGGTTAATCTGAGTGCGACGCACGATGAATTACTTTTCCCAAGTGCTGCAGGATCCAAAGGATTAAGAAAGTTTACTTCTTGTAGCGTGCTGGGTGCTGATGCCTAAGAGCTGACAATGTTTATGCATGGCTACAGATGTGACAGTCTGGCCTGCACATTAATCCATTATAAGAAGGGCTTTATGTGTATAGGCGTTCTTCCTGTTGCAGGGTTTACATTTCTTGCCAGACATCTCTGCCATTCTCCACTTTTGCCTTTATTCCAGCCACCCTCTCATACACTTTTTTCTCAAATGCACTCTGAGGGGCATGAGAACAGGCTAAATCCTTGACAACTTCAATGAAACTTCAAACAAAGAGTAAAACTCAGAGCCGGAGTTGGAGAAATGCAACACCTTACAGTAGTCTGACCTCCCCAAGGTAACACAGAAATGTATGCACCAGATACCGGGCGTGGCCACCTTCCTGCACAAAGCCAGCAAAAAAGAATGGAGCTATTGCTTTCAGCTTCAGGACCCCCAGGTGACCTTCCTTATCGACCCCTGCATGACCCCCTCAGGATGGGGAGAAAGAGCAGGAAAGCTTTCGGTATCATTGCACAGGAGTCAGATACACAGGAAGATCTTCACAATAGGTAAAAAGGATGCTGTCATTGTGCATTCTCATTGGAACGGTGTGTAGGTAATGGTCCCAGCTCTTGATTCTTGCACCCACCTTAAAGGCCCAGAGTGGTCATAAGTCAAACTCTGTTCTCCATCTAAACTCTCAGTGCGAGCGTAGCCTCAAGTCTTTGCTCATTCATGTATTGTTTCTTATGCTTTTCAGCACAGATGGGCTGCTTTTTCTTTTTGAGTCAAAAAGAGGTTCATGGCCTCGGGGTTGAAATGTGCTTCACTTATAAGGAATGTGTAAAGTCCAGCTTTAGCACCAGCTGGGAATACTAGCTCTAGGCTATAAAGATTATAATTACCTCCTTAAAATCCAGCATTAAATTAACTTCAAAACCCTCTGCAGTAGAAGGTTAGGGAAGAAAATGACAGTTGAAAGGTCTTTTTTTTTAACTGACTATGTGCACCTTGTCTGAACACTAGGCAGGCATCTTCCATCTTAACCCATGTTAACAGTCGTAAACAGTTATCCTTTCTGTTTATGTTCTGATATGTTAACCTTGTGAGAGTATTGCGTAACCACCATATAAATCTACGCATCTATCTTCTGTAAGATTTCTCACATCAGGCCATCTTTTCTCTTTAGTCGACCTGGAGCACATGAGGACCATAAAGGCAGACAAACACCAGCGCTTCTGCCAGGAAAATGGCCTCATCAGTCAGTTTGTATCGGCAAAGACGGGTGATTCGGTTTGTATAACCTTCCTTTGATGAGTCACCTTTATTGTTTTTAGTCAAATTTTGGATGCTTTATTTTTTTGTTTCAATCTTCTTGCAGGTTCACCTTTGTTTCCAGCGAGTAGCTGCTGAAATCCTTGGTATCAAGCTAAATAAAGCAGAAATAGAGCAGTCCCAGGTGAGCCTATTGCATTTGATCTTAGCTAGTTTACCAAATTTCTTATTTTCTCAGGCCTCTCTTGCACTCAAATGCAATATTTAAACATTTTTATATTTTATATTTTCTAATCCAATCCAGGTTTTTCTAGGTTTTATGTGTTCTAATTTATCTAAATTTGTCCGGAGGTCATAGAATACTAAAACAGACCTGAGAAATCAGAGGTAAGCTAAAGTATTGCATTGTTTCATGGTTTTAAGGCTGACAAATAATGCATACTCAAATGGCCATAACACATCCCGAAAATTAATTGATATCAAGTTTTTAAAAGAAATGTTTATGAACATGGGCTGCACAGTTTGTAACACTGCTACCTTGCAGCACAGTGGGTTTGGGTTCCATTCCCAGCCCGGGTTTTTTTTTGCATGGAGTTCGTATGTTCTCTCTGTGCAAGCGTGGGTTCTCTCCGGGTACGCTGGCTTCCTGCCACAGTCCAAAAACCTGACTGTTAGATTAGTTGGCATCTCTAAATTGTCCTTAGGTGCAAAGTGTGTTTTTTTTTTGGCATTAATGTAAATAATTGCAAATAATGTTTATTCTGGGTTCCATCAATAAATCCATTAAAACTGACTGCCAACACCTAATTACAGAATAAAGTTTCCTTTAATTTCAGTGTTATTATTAAGTAACATTTTTATTAACTTCATGTATTTAATGTGGTTTTGCTAAAAATTTCTTCGTGGGGGCAGCACATTTTAAACACAAACACCATACTGTAACACAACTAACACACAAGTGCATTATTTACTGTTAGGTGTGATTAAAGGCAGTGGATTTTGTTCTGCGGTATCAGATTAAAAGGTGCTTTAGACTAGACACAATACATTAAAAATTGTCATTGTAAAACACTTGATGAGTATCAATGCTTTTTTAAGGGGTTTTCATCAGAGTTTGAACTTAAGAGAGGTCACAGAGAGTGTGTTAGGTCATCAGAGGTTACCACACCCCGACTCTTTTGTAGTTATTGTTGTGTAAACATGAGTTTGTTACGTCTGCTCCTCAGTGATGGTCTTCCTACCACTGATGCGATCCTTCTGTAAATAGAACCACGCTGACCGCATTAATGCATGAAGTCTGGGGTCAAAGGTAGATAGTTGTAAGGGTGAGGAGGTTAGGGCAAGTTGTCTGATTTATTTCGTTTATCTCCCACTGTTTTGGGATGTAAAGGGATCTCTGCTTGCCAGTCAGACCAAGGTGCCCAATGGTGGCAGCTGTAGGATTTACAAGGTCACCTCCCTTAGAAGCATTAATCCTGGGTCTGATATGAATGTCTGGAGCCACACTGGCTGGGCAGTGGTTGATGAGCATGGGGGCTACAGAGAGGTCAGGACCCCCAGAGTAGGGAGAGCATATAGAAGAATGACTGACCAAATTCCCAGGATCCACTCCCCTCACCAGAAGGGCTGCTGACCAACAGAAAATGGCTATACACTAATAGAGCTGTCTGTCTGTTTCACTCTCCCAGTCCTCCCTTGATAGGTCTATCACTTAAGAAAAGTGCTTTAATCCAGAGTTATCTGGTTAGATGATTGGCAGGATCCACTTTACAACCTGAGAAATAGATTTGAGATGTTCACACATAAACCTCATAAACAGAGTAATGTCAAATAATAACCATACTGTTTAAATCACAATTAGCTCTGTAATAAAATCCACTTGGAATGCGAAAGTGTTACAAAATTTAGGGTAATCCAGTTTATTATAAAACAATCCTATTGCATGGTCACAATTGGATTCAAGTAATATAGGGTGGCCTTGGTATAATATAGAAGCGATCATGTAATGGCTTTTATTAAGAAATGAATCTGTCTGTGGAAGTCCAGCTGATAGGATTAAATCATAGAAATTTTGCAGCAATCCCTGCCAAACATAAGAATTCAGTCGTTCATTAATAAAAACTCCATCACTGAAAGAGAAAATCCCAATCTTAAAGACTGCACAGACAAAGAAAAGAGCATTAAATAAGAAAAAAAAAAGTCTCCTCCAAGGAATAAAAAAGATAAGAAAAACTTCACCCATTTGTAAAGGAAACACAGAGTTTAAAGTTTGTGTCATGAAGCTTGAGCAGGTCATGGCTCTGGGTGTAGCTGTAGGCCCAGCAAAGCCTCATTATCAGCTGTCATGTTTAGAGAGCTGAACATGAGGGTCACAACCTCCGACAGTATTGTATCTGGCTGGCAGCCCTCTCCGTCTTGGTTCTCTGTCTGCCGGATCAGATAGTGAGGCTGCAGATCACTCAGTAACCCTGACACCAGGCTTCGGCGGCTCATTAATTAGACAAGCAACTGGGGAACTCTTCTGTAGTCATGCAGAATAAGAAGGTTAAGGTTGTTCTGTAAAATGATCAATATAGACAAAAAACATTTTGACCAAAAATAAAACCACCACTTTAGTCTAAAACTCAGCTTTTGTTTGTCTAAAAAGCTCTGTTAATCAAGATGCTTTTTATATTTTTTAGTATCATCGGAGAAGCTAATAACTTAGCTTCAAACATTTTTGAAAAAAAAAAAAAAACATCCAAAAACAAAGCACATATATTCAACATCCTGTTTCTTATTAGAGGTTTATTTTTTATTTCAGTTCAATATCAGTTTCATTTAGTATAATAACCTCTATAGTTATTTAAAACTGAATGACTTAGAAGTAGCGTTTTTCATGTTATGGTTGTTCATTTTACTCCATTGTCATTCTTTTCCCATCCTTTAAACTTGTTGATCATTCTTCTCTCTGCCGTTGCTCTGTTTTCTTTTTTCATCTGTCCCGCTACATTTATCCACTGCTCAGAGGATCGTGAAAGCTGAGCTGGTGGACTACCCACAGGATGAAGGCCCCATTAGACATGAGAACGCTCAGCAGAGCAAAATCTGTTTGCTTCAGTAATTGAAAGTATGTCTCTACAGTTAGTGGGCAGACCTTATATCCACTGTAAACCGTAGGTTTGTAGTTGTAAATTAGATCCCTGTCGTTAGGATATGCCCTCTAGAAATATGTAGTTCACCTTTTTACTTCTTTGCCATCCGTCATCTTCTTACCTTTTTTCTTGTATTCATGTTGTATTGTTGATATGCCCTATGAGCTGTTATTTTTTTGTATGCAGCTGTGACTGTACTACTTTGCCCAACACAAATTTCCCTTTATGGGACAAAAAAATTCATCTTGTCTTAAGTAGTTCAGTTTTATTTTACTAAAGGCTTGTTCACACAACATGATTTAAAAAAGACCAATTGATTTTCACAACACAAGAGACCCCAAACATGATGATTAAAAATCACCATACAGCATGTTCTCTCCAGCCAGATGACAGGAGCAGTACACCACACACAAGCCGGTTTTGACGCTTTTATGAAGCAAAGCATTCAGACGCATCCAACACATGTTGTTGGTCTCTGTATATTCCCCGCATACAGGGCGAATGTTAGCAAAGGGAAACCAGTGACAGCCCAATCAAGCTGACCAGTCACTCTGGGATTTCCTGCTACTGTTTGAACCAGCTGGATTAAATATAAAATGTTTTTTAGGTTGTAGTAACTGCAAGTACCAGAATTTAAAAGGTATTCATTCTTAAACTGTTTCACAACAGTTAAGAAAATATGTAAGTGGAGTTATCAGAGCACTCTTGTTTTCCCTCATACATGAAAATAAGATTGACGTAGCGTGTAACCCTAAGTGAAGAGTAACCTGTTTATGTATATTGTTCAGTTTTCATGGTTTTATGCTGACAGCTCTGCAGGAGGAGAGATCACTGTTTGGATGCAGTGTTTGTCTCCCAGCCAGATCCTGGATCAGCTTCTCTGATTGTTTGATGCAGCGGGTTGAGCAGCAAATGTTCAAGTTTTCTTACTTCAGAAACTGATTTGAACAAGCTTGAATCACGGTACACCACATAGGAGAGGATAATGGGACAAGACACTCCATCAAGTTGGATTTTCCCTGATTTGCTAGAGGAGTTTTAGCGTTCTGCTGAGCAGAACTGATCACACAGTGCAGCGAGAGGCCCTGATATCTGGTCATGATTTAATTGTCATGATTATCTTGCTGTGTGAATCCCCCTTAACCGGTCCTGATGGTCACTTCCACTTCAAGATACATAGAGATGTTTTGTTTCAACCAGAGTTTGAAATGTTGGCATACATGTTGAGCCTTGTGTTAAAGAAACAGCTCAGCAGATTTAGATAATGCTTATTCAGAGTCTGACCAACTCCATGCTCATGTCTGCACACCACATATGTTCTCACAGTCAGCAACTGCTGTAAAGCATTCTGTTAACTTTGGCTAAGAAAAAGCCTCAACATTAGATTCTACAATCCTGACCAAATATATTGTATTACTGGTTGTTAAAGATGTTCAGTTAGTCTGTTGTATTTTTTTGTGCAAAAGAAGCAACTTAAAATAAACATAAAGCAATTATAGAAATGATTCTGCTATTCCACATAAACATGGAAAGATCACGCCAATAGTCTTAATCGCGTAAACAAGCAGACCAGGCAGAGGTCATGGCCTCTGCAGGTAATGCACAGGTGGATCATAACAGTTGGGGCATATTTTCCAAAAAAAATGTTTGAACCAAGTTATTCTGTTTAAAAAGAACATGCATCAAATACTAAGGAGGTGTGATGGATGTACAGTTACTTAATAAAAGTAAACAAAGAAAAATAATATAAGTAAATGAACCTTAAACAAGAAGAAATTTGTCTTATTTATTGTCAGAAAGTGAAAAAAAGTAAACATTTTCTAAACTTGTATAAATAATCTGCTTTGAAGAGTAAAACCACAGTTTTTACATCCTTTGGTGTCCAAGGTTGTAGCTTACTACCCAAGCTTCCTTTAAAACAGTGCAATCGCTGCAGCTGCTTTTTAACTCACTGTGTGTGTTTCCATGTTTCCAGCGTGTGGTAAAGGCGGACATCGTGAACTACAGTCAGGACTCCGTAGCCAGGACGGTCAACACCCCTCGCAGCTCCATGTGTGCAGTTCAGTGATCTCTCCAACAGAAACACACATGTATCAAGATGTAAAATTGTCTTCAGTCAGTATTAGTTTGTTAGGAATTTTGAGTGAACTGGATAAGAAAGTGTTTGGATCAGGGTCTCTGTATTCTTGTTTCAGTCATACTGTGGGGATGCAGAACAGCCGCATAGTTCAGATATTTAGCAGGACTTAAATCTTCACTGGTTCACCAAAATAAAAAAATGGGACCTCATTTTTTGTTTTTAAGTTTATGTGCAGCTATCAATTTTTCATACACTGTTAAAGCTTTTACCTGATATATATTTTAGAGTCAAGCTGGTTATTTAAAAAAGCAGTATAGGAGTATATTTTTTGTTTTTTTTGCTTAGGCTTCTCGTTTCATAGAGTCAGCATGAGTCAGCATTAACAACTGTTTGCCACATGCACTCAATGTTAAGTTTCAAATGTTTAATTGTGACCGAGGTGAAATCAACATCTTTTATGATTTCCCTAAAATCTTTTCTGCTAATTGTGCAATTCACCAGTAAAACTGATAAACAGAAGTGAAATTCCTGCTGTTGCTGAAAATCTTTTTACAAATTCTTTGCAGGTCAATCATTAAGTTACGTCTTGCAAAATTTTATTGATTCAGGTTTTTATTAGATCGATTTAAAATACAGGTGAATAATTCTGCTATTCCTATATTTTGTTTTCTCTCTTTAATTCTGCTAGATCCTGTGAAGTATTGATAGGCCTAAATAGAGCTGAAATGTCAAGAGTGCATACCTGAGAGTCCATAAAGCTTTACTTTCAGTTGTAAAATGAAGGTATATCTTGGAGAATGAAAATAAGGTCTGCATTTTCCTGTTTGTCTTAAATGTGTGTTTAATTTTTTTTTTAGCTTGTCCATCTCCATGTGTTCAGTTTCTAACATCTGTTTCCAAATGGAATCTTCATGATGCTATACGCCAGCTTGATGTTAAAAAATAAATGTAAAACTAAATTGTCGCTTTATCAATGCTTGTAAAATATGTACCAGTACAATAAGTCATCTCACTTATCAGAGAGCATCCTGTAAACAAAATATACTTTTGGTAATGTAGAGTTATATTTGACATCTTGTTACCAAATAAAGAAATATTACATGGAAAACTAATTCTGCTTGCATCGTCCCTTTGTAAATAAAAAAATGGTCATTAAAAATGGAGCTTTAATTAGTATTTTCCCTAATTTGTTTTTCCTTTGGTTGTACCACTAATTAATGTTTCAATTGACATGGTCTAATGCCACAATTCCTGTTTATTCAATTTTTTTGAACTATAGACACCTACTGCTCTCTTCCAACTGCCATTATAACACAATTTAAGGAACATTCTGGATTGTCTTATGAATGAAATTAAATGTTTTCTATTCATACCTGCTGCATGAAGTGCTTTACACTAAAGCCACATTCACTCTATTGCAACGATTTGTACACAGATCAACAGCTTGCTAGGCCGTTTTCTGTCCCTTGCCCAGGGGCACATCTCCATGTAGGGAAGCTGGAACTAAAGATCATTTTGCTAATCAATCTGTCCATTATTTTTTCAATTAATAATCGGATAGCAAGAGGTTGCTTTTTTTTTTTTTTAACAAGTTAAATTAGGTGATATTAAAAATGTTCCACTTGAAGAGTTCTGGATAGAAGATATTGATGAACAAAAAAGTTTTTCCATCTTAAATGCAAAATGTTTATATATTTCTTTTTGGTATAATTACTGCTCTAAGTAGGTCAGCTAAAGTCATGTTTTAGAGTCTCTATACTCCATTTTAGGTTAATTTGAAAAGGCCCCTTTTGGGCACGTTTTTAAACACTCACGTTTGATTTAATTTTAATTAAATCTATAATGAAAACTCAACAGATGGGGGTCTTTCTTAAGGTTTCCTAATATGGACAACTGCGGGTTAAATGAAAAGAATATCCCAGTTTTTCTATGCCCTCCTTAAAAAAATCAAACCAAATAGAAAAATAAATCAACTGTAGAAGCTTTGATGATAATAATACACAGCGAAGATGTACATCAATCATCCATAAAGATTGGAACAAGTGTCTGTATTTGTTGATGGTTTTATCTGCTGGAAGATTCTTGTCTGTTTTCTTTCTTAATACTATGAACTAATTCAGCCTTAAATAAAGGTGAATATGATTACTCTCTTCCTAAAAGTTGTGCGTGAAGTTACTCTTCTCTGCCTCCTTAAACAATTGTATCCAATATTGCTTTTTGGTTTAAAATAAAAATACAGCCTTAGAATCGAGGGGCTCCAGCCTTCTGGAAACTTACTAGCATAGCAGATCACCAAAAGGTTTCTGTTCAGACTTTTGGCCATCAGCCAGAAGACCTTCCCTTCCTTTTTTAGTGGGGCACAGCCTCTGATCTTTCTCATGGTATGGGCCTAGACCTTCTATGCTGTTTCATAGTAGCTTTATAGCTCTCAGGCAGTTCTTAGACACCTTATAGAGATTGCTTTTTGGTCCAGGTACTGAGTCCTCTCTTGCCTGTTCTACTACCTGCCTGACTTCTAACTACCTTCAATGGGAGTGAAACTCCAGTTTCTACAAGGAAAAAAGAAACATACCCTATATATGCAGAAGAAATCTCCTGTAGGCCATCACTCTTCAACCTTTCAACATACATGTTCAGTGTGGTGCATTAAAAAATGCCATAATATACAGAGGTATGTCTCTTTATTCCAAATCTTAATGACTGATGAAAGCTTGAAGCACCAAACCCTAAACTCTAAGCACCTAACTCTTCACTCTAAGTCTGAAACTAAGAATTGTCTCTTTAGAAGTGTCAGCACCTTTTCACATAACTCTTCCATTTTTGTAAATTAAACAATTGTGTTTATTGTGTCACTAAAGGCACTGAGGTATATATTTTATTTCTGTGAAATTACACATTTAAATGGGTATTTTACTTGGCGTCAAAAACGCATTTCGAAACATTTCAGAAACCTTGAAACAGCAAGGGATGGTCATTTTAGAGGTATAGTTTTACGATCCTCAGTGTGAGCTCTGGTGAATGTGTGCAGACTTTGTCATTACTCAACCTTTGTTAGCTTGTAACAGATTCAGGACTGGGTGTCACTGCAATATTTCACTTCTTGCAAAGAACAAAATCCAAGAGGAAGAGGCCCCCGGAGGAGGTCATGTGAGCAGCAGATGACGGGATCTAGACCATTGCCAGGGAGTGGATCACAGATTAAAGGTCCATGCGATGAAATTTAAGTATGAGGTACAGAAACCTGACCACCTCAGCGATCCTCGTCTACACAGACCTGGCTAATCTCTGGTAGCTAATGAGGCACCTGGTCTTTGTTCAGTAAATCTTCACTGAAAAAGCACCTAAATCCACTCTGGAGAGACGATACGGACAGCTTTTTAAATGGTTGTAAGCTGTATTAATTAATCATCTTCACAGTCTGGACTTTGTTGCCCTCACACAACTTCAAGGTTTTTTTTTTTGTTTTTTTTTTGTTTTTTTTTTGTTGACGACTCAGTACCACTGAAATCCTGACATTTTTTGAAGGATTAAGTGCATCTGAAACTAAAACAGAAAAAAAAAATAAAGCAAACAATCTTTTTGTAGACACTTTTCACATATATATCTTCACCCAGCTGCCATCAAATGGGACTGTCTTTGACCACAAACAACTATGATACTGCGGCGAGTGAAGCAGCCCAGGTGGGGTCATTCCTGCACACGTGTATTGTTTCGCCTGAGTGGACGTCTTAGAATACGTCTCTGATGAATTTTTGTCAGTAGCTGTCACCGGTGCTGACAGGAGAGCCTCGCTCTTGGCTTTGCTGCTGTTTAGACAGGTGTTTTTGCAAGGAAAACAACTGAAGCTACAGAATATCAGAGAAAGGACAATTCCTGGGGAAGGATTAGCAGAAGTCAAGAGTGATTGGAGTCTAAATTAATGTCTCTACCAGTCTTCAGCTTGATAGATCTGTATTGTTTATTCATGTAGCAGATGTAATATAATATATTAAACCTTATTATTAAATGTAAATAGCCGGTTTCAATCAATCTTGTGATTTATTGAGTGAATCCTTTCTAATGAAGGAAATTGTTCACTCACAACAAAAGAAAGTCTGGTCTTTTATCAAACGTATTTATCCGTAAAATTAATTAAGGATTACATTCACTGTAAATCACATACATTTTTTATTTATTAAAAATATATTGTATTCTTTCTTTTTTCCTACTGTTTCCCCATTGTGGGACAAATAAAGGATTATCTTATCTTATCTTAAAAGCATAAACAAAATCAACATAAAATTGTTTAGACTGGTCTTCCTTTGGTCACAATTCAACAAGTTTGGGGTCTTATTCTTTTAAGATATTTGACCAAAAAGCAAACATGATAGTAGTAGAGCGTATTTATTCTATAAAGATAAAAGATATAAAATTATTAAATATTTAAATAGATAAGAACTATACACCAAGTGCTGATGCTGTTTTGTTTTCAATATTCTTGTGCACACTTACCCAGGACTGTAGGTTGAGTGTTTTAACTAAGTCTAGTTTAAAGCATCTCTTCTCACTTCATTATCCATGATAAATAAATAATATACTAAACTAATGCAAACCCAGTTTTACTTAGAAGAAATGCTGGAATACTCAATCACATCTTGGGATTGTGGTTCTCTTATTTTCCACATTAAAACCAGTAAAGTTATCGGTAACAGCTAATTCCAGCTAAACAAATAAATTCACTAAAAGAAATGCTTGATGGCCTAATTTAGAGCTCTAAACCTATGTTGTAATTGTTGTAATTTAGGAGGAAATGTTTTGTTAGAGAAAAAACAGATAAAGAGCTCTAAAGTTTTCAATCAACCTGAGCTTGCTGATATTCTTACATCTGAAACTGCCCTGCAGAGGAGGCAGAATTGGATCTTTCGTCATCTGTTAACCAGACTGAGTCTCTGGACTTGAGATTCGGACCGATCTGTTGCCCAGTGAGAGTGAACATCTAACCATAACAGATGTTTGAAGCAGAGGGAATCCAATTTTGTGGTGAGAATTTAGCTAATAGCTTATCTGTTCAAGGTTGTTAAATTTGAAACCACTCCTATGGTGCATTAGATATGGAAACAAATGCTGTTGAATAAAGAGGCTAAGTGATGCTGAACACAAGGCAATTTTGCAGGAACCTTACATGAAGGATAATTAATGAGAAAAATTTGATTTGGTTTAGACTTGGTTTGACTTCCTTTTTGTGAGACCTGGCAAAACTAGCAGGTTAAAACTTTCAGGTTAAAAACACATACCTTGACGTTTCCAGGACGCAAACTTAAAGTAATAGCTATAGCAGTTTAAATGACTTTAGCAGACCAGTTAAATGTATGTGGAAAGTCAGATCTGTGTGTTTGTGGTCACTACACTCATTTTCCATTTTGGTTCTAACAAAGATGTAGAAATAAACAGACCAAATTAGTTTTTTTTTTGTGTACTGTAATACTTTGGATTATCTCTTCACATATGGTCTTAGACTGTCGTCCACTGAACCCCAAACACTTCTTTCCTCTGGATACCTGCTTGTTTGAAATCAGCCACATGCCTATTTAGATAATTCATATCCTTTCTTACTGGTCTGTTTTTTTATTGCTGAAATTCAGTGATGACAGTCTCAAAAGCCACAGCACAAGCTGGTAAAAGGGTCCACAGTTGTGGGCTGGAGTCTCGTTTTGTCTGTGTGGGCAGATTGGGGCCAACACCCTTATAATTACCCACTCACCCTCTTCTGTTTTCCACCTGTACAGTGTGCCAGACCCACAGAGCCGAAGGAAATAGTGGGATGGAGTCAGGCCCTCTGATGAGCTGTAGTCCCCCTCGTCCCCACACTGGTTCCCATCCACTGCTACTCTGGGCCAGCCAACTGTGACCGGATTGACAAGAAGGACAAATTTAGAGCCTGAAATAGGCCAAAGACGGCAGCCATTTGTTTAGCACTCTGAGGTTAGCCAATGCTGCTTGGCTTCTGAGATACTGCAGGAGATTGCTCTCAGAAATTCTGTGAGCACTTAAGCCGAAGAAATAAAAAATTCTGCTGTCCGATTAGCAGCTTGTGTTGAGCAGCAGCGCTGTCCCAGTTGGTGCCCTGTATCTC